TTCTGAAGAAGTCGGCGGAGGTAGTGACGTTTTTTATGAACCACTCGAGGGTGTGGGACTTGCTCCTCGTGAATTCCTAGGGAGCAATTCTCGCAAGGCCAGGAGCGACTCGGTTCGCCACCAATTTCATCATGCTGGACAACGTGCTGGACTTGTACCTGCCGCTGCAAAATTGTTTGACAGACAAGGATTGGAAGGATAGCATCGTGCTTCCCGGGCAGCGACATTTGTTTGCTGCTACGACAAAGACAATCCTCGACAATGATTTTTGGGCAGGAGTCGAGAAGGTGCAGAAGACGTCCGAGAAACTGCTTCAACTCTTGAAGTTGAGCGACGGAGTTGGACCGACGATGAGCAAGATCTACGGCGGGATGGACGCAGCCGTGGAGAGCTTACGCAGCGAGGAGTGCTTCACAAAAATGGAAAAGGAAGAGCTCAAGGAGATCATAATGCGGAGGTGGAACACTATGACTTCTCCGCTGCATTGTGCAGCAATGTTCCTTGATCCTGAGTTCAGGGACTCGAGCTTGGAAAAGGACCCTGAGGTGATGGATGATCTTTGGACGTGGGTGTACTCTTGGGCGAAACCAACGGAGTACAAGGAGTTGGACGACGAGGTGAATTGCTGGATTGAGGGGACGGGCAAATTCAGAAGCGAGAGGGCACTTGCAGAGGCGGACAACGGCCAACCAGCCAGATGGTGGAGAAAGTGGTGCACTGAGTTGCCGACCTTGCAGCGCCAGGCAATCCGTTTGCTTGGACAGGGATCGTCTGCTTCCGGTTGTGAGCGGAATTGGAGTCTTTTCGAAAGGATTCACTCCAAACCGCGCAACAGCCTTGCCTTCGCACAATTGAGCACATTGGTATACAACAGATGGAACCGGCATCTGTTGGACAAGCTTGAGAAGAAGCCGGTTGAGAAGGAAGACCCAAAGAAGAAGCCTTGGAGGGATGGGTTTGGGGGCTTGATAGCAGAGCAATTGTGCGAGGACGCAAAGAAGAGGGTGCAGGAGTGGAGAGCCAAGCTGCGTGGCAACAGGGAGGAGGCAGAGGATTGTGAGGATGAAGATCATGACAACGATGATGGCGCCCGTGATCACGTGGCCAAGGCAAGCACCATTGCACGCCAGCGGGCCACCAGCAGCTTGTTTGAGCTCGAAAGGGAGCTGAACAAGGAGCTACCTTCATGGAGGAAGGCCATACGGCCTTCCAAGTACCTCGCCCGCTTGCATTTGCAGGAATCTCAGAACGCAGGCAAGACTATGACATCCGAGCACGCTGAGAAGTATATTAATGCAAGAGCTCAAGCGTGTGCACCCAATGTGAAGGCGCCTGCAAAGAGGCCTCCGGGGCGACCACGTAAGATGGCACATGTGCAGGGCACGGAGGCAGATGAGGAGCAGGCTCCCGGAAATGTGGAGGCATCCGAGCGGGGGAGCAAACAGTATGCTGGTCTCGAGGTTGCAGCAAAGGGGCCTGGAAAAAGATTCAGGGGGCGACCAAGGAAGGTGCTGCGGGAAGAGGAGGTGCAGGTGGACGCAAGGGAGACTGGGGAAGAGGGGGAATCGTCTCAGAAGGACAGCACCGAAATGGAAGACGAGGAGAGATTGAAAGAGGAGGAGGAATGCAGCACAAAAGAATCTTCAGATTCATCAGAATCATCGGGCGCTGATTCTGAAGATGATTTTGAAGAAGAGCCCCTTGCTAAAAAAAAAGCGCAGAGAGGAGAGAGAGAGAGAGAGAGAGAGAGAGAGAGAGAGAGAGAGAGAGAGAGTAACTTGAGTAAGTTATGTGAACACATTTTGCTATGGACTCGTATGTAGTATGAACGTCTTTTGGACTGTTCTCTGCACTTCTGCGAGAAGTGATGTTTTTGAAGGTTTTGTAGTTCTGCTTGTATGTTGTTGTCACTTGTTGAACTGTGTGGTTGCAGGTACCATGTCGAAGTGGCTTGGAGGTATGTATGTTTTTGAAGTTCATTTCTGAACTTTCTTAAAGTTCTTTAATTGATTTTAAATTTTATTTTTTTAACTTTTTAAAAGTTTTTTTTGTTTTGTCTGTTGATCAGCATCATCTGTTATTGAACCTTGAGGCTGCCCAAGTTCTATGTAAGCCGCGATGGCAAATGTATCAGGTCACCAAAGGACAGCACGACCTGTGGGGGGAAAAAAAAAAAAAAATCCGATTTTTTTTTTTTCCGGACCTCACCATACATCCGGACCGTCCGGACCTAGTCATGTCTGGTGTCCGGATCATGTCCGGATTTCCGGACGTCCGGAAACAACCGGACACGTGTCCGGTTTGGTGTCCGGAAATGTCCGGGTCCGGGTCCGGCGTAGCCATGCATCGAATAGATCGGATCTGGACGGCCTGGTAGTTTCCGAGCGGGGACTGTAAAGATGCCCACCTCCCGTCCAATGAGATGCGTCGAAAAAAAAAAAAAAAAGAAGTTGGACTAACTTGGACATTATAGCTCGTGGCTTTGTGTGGGCGGGAAGTC